CTATCTATCTATCTATCTATCTATCTATCTATCTTATCTATCTATCTATCATCTAAACAGACGACACCCACCCACATGCACACACCCACACAGACATATAGGTAGATAGGGTTAGTGTTAGGGATATGTAGGTAGGTTGGTAGTCTCTCTGTATGTGCATGCATGCATGTGTGTTTCTGTGTCTATATGTGATTATGTGCCATCAAGTAGTTTTTATAATCCTAGTGACCATATAGTTTTTCTCCATGCTCATGTGTCCGTAACCTGTTCTTTCAAGCCTCCCTATCACCATTATAACTGAGTCTATACACCTTTTTGCTGCTGAGCATTCTCTTCCTCTGTTTCTACTTTTCATAGCATTGGAGTTTTTTCCAAAGAACTAGATCTTCCTATTATTTGAAAATAGTAAAAAGCTTGTTTCTGGGCATTTGCTTCTGAGATGAGAATTCTGGATTTATTTGTTCTATGATCCATTTGTTTGTTTTCTTGACTGTCCAGGGTACTCTCAGAAATCTTCTCCAACAATATTTATACATATATGTGAATAGATAGGTGGATGACTGGGATGAATGGATGGATAGTTGTGTATGTATGTGTGTGTGTTTTTGTGAGAGAGAAACGGCTATGAAACTCTGGCCACCTTACATAGTGAGATTTCTCATTTCAGTTTAGATATGAATATCAATGAGATCAACTTGTAGGCAGATGCCAAATACTTCATTGTTGGCATGAGTCATATTATCCATGAAGCCATAATGTGCTTTCTTTGGTTACTATAGGAATAAACCCAGCTATTGGGAATGGTGATCAGATGTTGTATGCTCTCAGCCAGTTTATTCAAGATCTAGAAATCACAGCTCACAGGTAATCCTTGACTTAGCAACCATTCATTTACCGTATTTTTCGGAGTATAAAATGCCTCGGAGTATAAAGTGCACCAAGGTTTTGAAGAGGCAAATTAAAAAAAATTTTTTTGCACTCTGCAAACCTCCCAAAAATGGCTCATCNCTGAACCTCCCCAAGAGTCATCTGCAGCCAACCACATCACTGCTTCACCTAGGGACCATCATCAATTCCGTCACGTGCAAGGTCTTCCTGTCCCTGGAGAGGCGACAGAGCATCCAACGACTGGCGGCCCAGGTGTCATCTCCTTTACGCCTTCCCGCCGCTACCAATCCTCCCGACGGTCATCCAGAAGATACTGACGGAGCAGGCGGAGGTCCTCTTGGTGGCCCCGATGTGGTCCTGGCGCCCCTGGTACGCCGTCCTTGTGCACCTGTCGATCTCACGTCCGTGGAGGATCCCGGACAACCAGATTCAGCTCAACCAGGAGGCTCTAATACACCCGAACCCCCAGCTGCTGCAGTTAGCCGTGTGGCACGTGAGCAGGCTATTCTAACCGGCCTTCACTACTCCAGCAAGGTCATTGACACTATCCAAGCGGCCCGTCGTCTCTCCACCACTCGTATTTACGAGGCCACCTGGCAGGCCTTCTGCAGGTGGTGGTGCTGCCATGCTGGGGCTGATCCCCTCCAGGCTTCAGTGCCCCGAGTCTTAAACTTTCTGCAAACTGGACTTAACAAAGGCTTGGCGCCCAACACGCTTCGCAAGCAGCTCGCGGCCCTAGCCACAGTGATTGGGGGCGGCCAGGGGCTCCTTGTCTCAACATTCATGAGTCAAATCCTTCCTGAAAGGAGCGGCTAACATCAGACCTCAGACCGTGCACCGTTACCCTACGTGGGACTTGACATTGGTACTCAGGGCTCTTATGGCCTCTCCATTCGAGCCTATTACATCCATCAGTCTTCGGTTGCTGACTCTTAAGACTGTGTTTTTGGTGGCAATTACATCGGCCAGACGGGTATCTGAATTGGCAGCACTATCAGTTCGGGCGGATCTCTGCATATTCCATTCCAGCAGAGTTGTCCTCCGTTTGGACCCAGCCTTCCTACCAAAAGTCAACACGTTATTCCACAGGGCTCAGGAGCTCATCCTTCCGAACTTTTGCCCCAACCCCACTCATCCCCAGGAACGCCAGTGGCATCACCTGGATGTGCGCAGGACTCTTCGTTGCTACGTGAAGTGCACTGTTTCCTTCAGGTGATCGGAAGCGCTTTTTGTGTCCTTTCAACCATCTTCCATGGGACAGAAGGTGTCTTCCCATACCATAGGCCGATGGTTGAAGGCATGCATCGCTCTTGCTTATGACAGCCAATCTCGACCGGTCCCCAGGCGCATCACTCCTCATTCTACCAGAAGTGCGGCCACCACGGCGGCCTGGGCCACGCAAATCTCAGTGGAAGAAATCTTTAGAGCGGCTACCTGGTAGTTACCATCACCATTCATCCGACACTACAAGGTTGACATGTATGCCTCGGCTGAGGCTTCCTTTGGGCGTCGAGTTTTGCAGCGGGTGCTCCCCTCTACAGGGGACCCTGGCCAGCCTAGCTCCCGCCCTGACGCTTAATTGCTTTGGCATGTCCCATGCTTGGATTCCCCAAGCAGCACACAGGAGAATGACCGTTGACTTACCTGAACAGTCCTTCTATGTGTGCTGCGAGGGGAATCCAAACCCGCCCTCAGCTCCGGCTGGCCAGGGCTGTTCGTGACTCTGACTTGACTGACTATTACCTGACTTATGACTTGACTCATTCTGAAGAAACTACTCCAACTTATTGAGCTACAGCCATCAGTGACATTGCTATACATCATTAACCGGCTGACTTCGTACAAAGCACTGATTTAGTACTGATTAAAAAAACTGACCCATCCAGTCAGAGAAGGCGTGGTCACCAATTTACATAACTCGGTCTCTAGGCTAATGGACAACCCATGCTTGGATTCACCTCGTAGCACACATAGAAGGACCGTTCAGGTAAGTCAACGGTCATTTTGACCACTACTGTACATATAGACAGGCAAACATAGTGGTCTATATCTAACTATTTATTGATCAATAGTTAGATATAGACATAGATTTAGATAGACATCTATCTATCTATCTATCTATCTATCTATCTATCTATCTATCTATCTATCTATCTATCTATCATCTATCTATCTATCTATCTATCATCTATCTA